GAACATGCCATCTAGATACAATAGATATCACATTTTAGTACATTTTTAAGCACAAAATGTACAGAAAAGTATCATTTAAAGCTCTGTAGATTGAATTATCAGTGAAACTTCCTTACAAATCTGAAATATGGTCCCCAAGCACAATAATGTACATTACAAATGTTTACTATAAAGCAAAGATATGTAAGACCTTCACTGGAAATGAAAATAATAGAAGAAAAATACACTTAGACCAGTTCACGAAAAAAGATCACATGCAGGCCCGTAGCCAGAATTTTCCAAGGGGGGGTTCGTTTTTCTAAAAAAATCTAGGGGGGGTTCACTTTGGCAAATATGGCCAAAAATCACTCAAAAATTAGTCAGAATGGTGAAAAACTGCATGATTTTGAAAGAAATTTTGGCCAGGGGGGGGGGGGCCCGAACCCCCCGAACCCCCCCCTGGCTACGGGCCTGACATGATTATGAATATAAATATCTCCCACAAAATGCTTTTAATATCCCACTAAAACTGCTTTTAATAATATGTCCATATAACTGCAGCTTTAAGGGTGATTAAGTACAAAATATGTCATGGAAAATAAATTGAAATTAAAGTTAAATAAAAATCACATTGCTAGGTTTCCTCATTCGCCAGAATTTAGGGTTTTTGAAAAGATATTTAGGACTCAATTTGTCCACAAAGCACATTCTGGAATGTGTAATAACAAGTTAACTGACTTATTGAACTATTGTTTTTATAAACTTATCAGCAACATCCTTTTCTTATTTAATTATTAGATTTAGACTCTTGATTACAATTATAATCGTATTATCAAAATTAACATTGATATAATTCAAATAAATTCACTAAGTACAGGTATAACTTTTATTCTCGTGACTCTACAAGTCTTTGATGTCTAAGAAATAATAAAATCATGTCTGGACTATATTTTAACATATTGATTACATGTATTTGTATCCTTTTAATACAGCAGACACATCCTGTTATTTTTTAATTAGTCTTATAATAAGATTAGTCAGTTCAGTCAAAATAAGCTTCATAATTCATAAAAGTCAAGCATCATTCATTTGACTCTAACCCTTATGTCATTTTACTGAAATATTTTGTTAAGATTAAACCGTTTAACCTCAGTCAGAGTATAAAATGTACATGTGATCAAATTAACCCATCTCCCTATGCTTCAATCCTACACCATTCTCATAGTTGCCACATGCGTAATGGAATATTTGATAGAAGATTCATAAAACAATTTAGATGCCAGAATAACAGGTATATCACTGGCTTATCATGTACAGTGTATCCTAAAATATTTTATGGCAACCATTAACCCTTTTAACCCTTATTAACAATATGGTAATCTTAAATCATATTAAAGTGAATGTCCTGCTTCTCCATAGTTTCAGGAACACCTTAACCACACTTTCTCATTATGAGGAGAAACTATGGGGAGATATTTCTTGGAACTGTGGAAGAAATACCAGTTGGGTCCACATTTTTATGAGTGTCAAAACAGGTGACCACAACCACACTTAAACACATCTTGACAGGTAAAAATGTGGTTAAAAAAGGTCATCTTTTAACCACATGAGGGGAAAACAAGCGTTTTTTCCTAAGGGTATTTCTTAACATACAGAAATTGTATTTAAGCATAAATGATGCAGTTATGCAAGGCTATGCCTGACCATTTTCCCTAGCAACTTCCTAGCAACGGCTTGAAATAATGGTTAAATTTGCCTAGCAATGACCTAGCAACAGCTTAAAATAGCAATGTTTCTCATAAAAATCTCACTATATTTACTTGAAGAAAATCAATATGTATGTCCTTCAATTTATAAAGCTTTGTTGCTGCACACTCAAAAATCTGAAGTCTCTTGTGTAAAGCATAATGGAACATTTCTTGTCCTATTTCTTATCAAATTGCAAAAGTTCTGCAATTCATGTTTCAGTTCTTAGATAAAGTAAACACATTTCATTCATCGCATGACATGATAGAGTGCTGCATCACATGTTGGAGGTACCCTATCGGGATCCATCTGTCATGAGTGAACATGTGCCTGCGCATGGTATTGAGATTTGTCTCACTGTTTGTAGGCTGGTAAACCAGGATAATGAACCTCTCAATTGTGCCCATAACTTCTGTTGTTACGGTTGATGGGCGATCTGCTGGAGTCAAAAGGACACCTGTTAGATCATTTCATAAGCTTGAAAACTGTCACCTTGCTCTGATGGTAAAGTCCAGATGTGGTATCAGTTCCAGTATGGGCGTGGAACATTGGCAGCGCACATGATATTTGTAGTCCTAGTGCTCTATCAATCTCATGAACTGGAATGTAGTGATACGTTTTGCATTTTGAAAATGCTACGTAGACCTCAATCTGTAGCTCAGAGGCACAGGCTAAGGCTATCACAATAACATTACTGTCTACTGATCTCATCATAAACATCCTGCAACCTTTTCCGACACCATGAGACGCATGCAAAAACATATGTATCTGCCTCATGACATTGTTAATTTTCCACATTTGGGTAGTAATATTCCACTGAACCCAGCATATGGGGTTTATGTATCCCAGCAGGGCGTTTTCAAAATACTAGTATATAGATTTTAAATCAAGACACAATATTTTACTGATTAAATTGTTAGGTCAAGGTTGTACTTGTTAAAAGCTTAAAATCCTATCTGGGCTTTGCTGAAACATACAAGTCATTAATTTCAAAGTTTCAAGTTTTACCACTTGAGATGCTGAAGGATGTAGGAATTGTGCAAAGAGCTTTTTCTTTCTAGAAACGCTTGCAGATTGCTTGGTAGTTTGGTGTTAGGATAGGAATTTTCAAAATCAATGACAACAAGATACGAGTTCTTAGCACTACTAGCAACTGTTACAAGAAATATTATGGCAGATGATAGAGTCTTTGTCTAAACCATTGAAGGAGAGTGCATCAGTAATCCTGCTTATTATGACATAATAGTCCCTGCAGCAGGAAGAGGCAGATACACATATGTTTTTGGATGTGTCTCATGGTGTCGGAAAAGGTTGCAGGACATTTATGATAAGATCAGTGGACTGTAATGTTGTGATAGCCTAATAACCTGTGCCTCTGAGCTACCGATTGAGATCTATGTAGCATTTTCAAAAGGCAAAACTAACGCTACATTCCAATTTATGGATTTGCTTGAGCACTAGGACCTCAAATATCATGTGCGCTGCCAATGTTCCACGCCCATACTGGAACTGATACCACATCTGGACTTTACCATCATAGAAAGTTGACAGTTTTCAAGCAATGGAGCTTATGAAATGATCTTACAGGTGCCCTTTTGACAAGAAGCACATGTATTTGGGCAGTGGTATATAGTGATTCCAATTCTTCCTTCACCATGCCTATGGGGATGGTTTAGGAGCTCATCAGGATTGTGGGTGCCCAGATGGACAATATTGCCCAAGCATCCAAAGCATGTAAAGTTATAATTAAATGTGGATGTACCAAATGTGACTACAAAGGGAATTGCAAATGCTGTGGTGCATTCTACTGCATCGAACTATGCACCTGCAAAGGAAATTGAAGCAATTCACCACATTAAAGTATTATCTTAGGGGTATCAATGCTGAAAATGTATTAAGTATCGATGTGATGAATATTTTGTGTCTACTTTATCTCAGAACTGAAACATGAATTGCAATTTGATATACATAAGACAAGAAATGTCCCATCATGCTTTACACAAGAGACTTAAGATTTTTAAGTGAGCAACTATAAAGCTTTATAAATTATAAAAGACATATATATTGATTTTCTACAAGTACATATAGTGTATATAGTGAAATACTTGTGAGAAACATTGCTATTTTAAGATGTTGCTAGGTTGTTGCTAGGTAAATTTAACCTTTATTTCAAGCCGTTGTTAGGGAAAATGGTCAGACATAACTGCATCAATACATCTGCTATATGTTAAGAAATACTGTAGACGAGATCCGAAAGCAGTGAACATATAATAGATATATGGTCTGCAAATGTCAAAATGGACATTGAACAATGTTGTCATGTTTTTGCTATGCAACATGGTGATGTCACTTCTGTAAATATGTTAAAATTGTTGTATTTTAGGATAAGAAGACTTTGTAATGGTCTTATAGCATCCTAGCATTATATCAAGTGGATTTATATTGTAAAATGTGTCATTTTAGGCGGTTGCTATGTGGTTGCTAGGCAAATATATGATATCACAATAAATCAAAGCCCTAAGATTAGAGTTTATCCTAGGATCTAACTTTGTGCCAAGTTTGGTTGCTTAATTCCCATTCTCCATTGGTGAATTATAGTGAGATAAGGAGTTTGGAATTTGAATTTTCTATTAAAATTGTGTTAAAAAGCAGAAATAACAGGTATCCTGTGTAATCTCTATTATTTTTCTAAAAAGGGCTTTAGAAAAAGGGCCCTGTCTCTTAAATAACTTAAAATACATAAAACTATGAGAAAAAACTCAAAAACAAACTTTAGTATGAAAACGCAAGATCATTCACCAATTGATTCCGCTAATTCACTAAAATATAAGAATATAAATGTTTAGTGTTTCAAACTTCCAATACTTTATGTGTACATTTATGTATAAACATTTTGTTCATTGAAAACAATTGAATCATGTTGGAATAAATACCTGGAGGTTTTCCAGTTAATCTGTGTAGAATATCATTGAGCCGTTCTATTTCCCCTCTCTGATCTTCTAAAAGATCATGCAATCTTTCAATCTCTTCTTCTTTGGCAGCTGAAACATAACACACATGCTGAATGACCTGATGTAAAGAAATATAACCAATTGTATATCCAAGGTCTTGACCAAGATGTCCCTGAACATATTTGACATTTATATTTACAACTGTATTTTATACAATTTAAACTTGACAAAAACTTAAATACATAATACCAGAGTGTCCTCATATTTAAACATGAGATACATGTAGCAATAAATAGGAATTAACTTGACAGATGTGATGCATACCAACAATTTGATTTGACCTTCCTGTTTGTGCCATTGTATCCTGCAAGTCGTGGTCTTTCTCCTTTAGGAGTTGAACAAGTTCTGTTATGTCATCTTGAGCTTTTTCAAGCTCCCCATGTAGCTCCCTAACTATAGGGTCTTCTTCAGGAGGGATTTGACCACCCCTTTGTTGGGGAATAGGCTGGGTTGCCCAGCCAGGAGGTCCACTAGGGTGGCCATTGCGGTAGTTTTGACCGGAGTTGTGAGGGTAATCATAGTGGTTGCTATGGTGATGTTGTGGATTACCTTGTTGGGTTGCTTTGTTTTGTCCTTGATTTCTGGAATATAGTCTAATAAGGATTACCATATTACAAGACAAGGCATCAACACGTTAAATATCACGAACTGCCATTTCTTACAGATGCTGAACACCCACCTCCAAACGTTGAACACCAACTGCCATGGCAAAAATTTTGGGACCATTACAATATGTCATCACTTTTGGTGTTGACATAAAAAAATTATTATTGAGAACTTCAGGCCAATTGTAACTGTTTTGATTCACTCATAGATTTATAATTTTCTTACTAACCTTCTATAATATGTAACATCATAGGAATCATGGTTGCTATGGTGATCTCTGTCTCTATAATGGTCATCAACTGAAGGATGGCTACCTTGTGGAACATGGAAATTTTGAGCATTTTCTAACTCTTTTTCTTTCCTATCCAATTCTCTCTTTAATTTGAGCATCTCATTCTCTGCATTCATTGCCTTTAAAATCAATAGAAATAGTTTCATACAAGCTGTTAATTCCTTCCAAATTATACTGTATTTACAAAAGCATGTTACCAGAACCAGTTTGGTCATTTTTACAAGTCAATTTATAAAAGATCATTGCGTTTATGTTACTAATTCTCATTTATGATCCATTCTGATTTTTCGATTGCACAGTTTTCCCCTCTGCATTTATTAATTTAAATACATTACATAGATCTATATCTGAAAAAATGAATTTGTTCACCTGTTTTGATGCCAATCTATCCTTCTCTTCAAGTCTATTTCTCAGATCTTCTAACTCATTCTGCAGTTGCTCATAAACGCCCTTCTCTTCGATAACATCTGAATCATCACTCATAGCACCCCATTGTGAGCCTCCTATGCCACTCAGAGGTCCCTTTGTGAGCCTCCAATTCTGGTATGGTCACTACGAGGTGTAGGCTCAAGGAAGTGGTTAGGTAGACCAGTGGATTGGTTAGATGTCTGTTTTTGCTTGGACTGTTTCAAGGCATCTTTTAGCTGAGATATTTCCTCTTGCAGTTGAGCTATTGTGTCATCATCACCACTGCTGGAGTTCTGTTGAGGTTGTGTGTTGTTAGCTTGGTTCAATTTTGAGAGTTGTTCTCTCAATTTTCTTACTTCTGACTCGGACTAAGACAGAAAACAGTCATGCTCAAACTAAAACATTGTTTTCTACATTTACTTTTAATTCATGAAATGTTGTAACCATATACAAGTTCAAATTTAACTTTTCCCTGTTAATTAATCTAATTTGATTTCTTCCATTAAATGACAAAATACCTTTGATTTCTCTTTCTCAGCTTTCTTCACTTCTGCCTGACTAGTGTATATTTTGTCCACTAGCTGGCGTTGCATCTCCATTAATGCTTCATTGACCTCATTTGGTTCTTCAAATATGGATTCATCTGGTGCCTGAAGAAAAATATGTGATCTTACTTATATGTAAGCCAAATAATGTATATTCTGCTATCAATTTTAATCAACCTCTAATTTCATCTCAAAAGGCAAAATCAAAGCCACCTGATACAAACCCCAAATTAAATCCAGACCCAAATGGTGTTAAATTGTACAAAAATTGGGAGATCAGTGTATTTTGTCATTATAAATACTGTACTCCCACTAATATTTGACGCTATTATATTTCACGTTTTTGGCATTTTGAAATTTTGAGGCTATAATATTTTGCTAATTTTCAGTTTTTTGAAATTTATCTATTACTTTTTTGCGGATTTGTCATACAAGATCACTCTTTCGACTTCAATATCAGCCATTGTTGGCTTCTAATAAAGCCATTTCGTTAGAATGTTCATCTTAATACCGTAATAACGATCTTTCATCTAATTTCTCTTTTCAAAACTCGAAATGTTACTTTTTTTTTACCTATTATCGACCAGCACTGGACCAAAATAATGTCAACAGTGAAATCCCCGGGGATTTCCTTGAAATTTCAGGACTATTAAATTTCGCGAATTAGAACTGTTAGAATTTCACGGCTATTATACGAATTTTCCAAATCTCGCAAAATATGGTAGCGCGTGAAAATTACAGGGAGTACAGTATGTAAATAAAATAAGGAAAGAAATGGTGGCATTGAGTATGATTTAATTTTTTAGATGAACATACCTGGCCTGCATCAATGCTTTCCATCATGTCCTGTAGTTTCTGTTGAATATGTTGAGGCTGGCTTGATTTGTTGAGTAACTCTTGAATCTCATTGTCTCTTTCTTGTAACTGGGATTGAAGCTCTGTGTTAGCTGCCTGGGATTACATAAAAGATAATGAAATTACTTGGACATGATGTAAGCACACAACTAAGGCAATTGCACAAAAGGTCATGGAACTTAAGGTAATGGGATTGAACATGGTGTAATGGAAGTACCCCTAACACAAAGGAAGTACACATGAGGGAATGTAGTTAAGACAAGGAAGGTAATGGAATTGTATATGACAATGGGATTACTCATGATGCAATGGAATTACAATTAAAGCAATAGGATTAAACACGAGGGAATGGAATTACAGATAAAGTAATAAGATTACACATGAGGGAATTGAATATCACGAGGCAACTGAATCATATATACTAGCCTGCATGTGTTCAAGTTGCTCCTTTATTCTGTTACCCATCATATCTTTTCCAACATCCACCTGCTTTAGTTTATCAACAGCATGTGCTGCCCTCTTTTGTTCATTTTCAAGTTTATTTAACAAAACTTGTTTATCAGCCATTGATTTTTGTTCTGCTGCTTTAAGGCTATGTCTCAGAGCCTCAACTTCTTCTTGAGCTAATTTTATGTCACGATCAATGTTTGCATCAGCAGAGAGTGTTTCATCAAGCTGTGATTTCAGCATCTGATTTTCTTCATCTTTTGTATGTAAGGATACTTCAAGATTATGCAATTTCTGAAAAATATATTGCAATCCGTTTCATTAAATACCTAGCATTTTATTATAATCACGGGGGTCATTGAATTGTCTTTGGATTATGTCTCCAATGTGTAGGTACAGTGTCCTAAAGGAAAATGACCAAAAATTATTACAGAACACAGTAAGGAAATGAAAACATCTTAAGAGTACATCAGTCATAGAAAAGGAAAAGACAGCAGCTACATCAATGTTATCAATGTTACAACTACTTGGCTCCAATATGATCAAGAGTAATGTGCCTAGAAAGAAAGATGGCAGCAGTGGTATATATATTTATAACTATACAGACCTCTTGTTCCACCTTTTTTTTCATGCATAAGTTTTTACATCTAACCATTTTCCTGACTTCATGAGGTAACCACATAGTGTATGTATGCCCCAAGGATCTGAGAGTTGCTGGTCAAAATGGAATTACAGACCAGTTGCAATGTTTTTTTCCTATACCTAGCGAAAAAAGTAACTTGGTAATGAGGGCATGCACTATAATCACATTGCAATAGAAAGATATGGTTGATTTCAAACAACATAATTTACAAAGTTCACAGTCTATTTTCTGTACTCAGCATCATCAGAATGCAGGAAGAAACACGATGAATGATGTCTGAACCCCAACGTTCGGAAGATGTGTAGTCAAGTATGTGATCAAATATTATTTGGTTTAAAACATTGGTCATATACTTCTCTTAATTTCATATAGCCTCCAGCCTCTGAATCCATGATGCCCATCTCCTTCTCAAGGTTATGTAATCTTTCCTCTAATGCATCCTTCTCTATTTGCAGTGAATTATATGCTTCATTCTGATTGGCTGCCCTCTGTTTAACATCTTGGAGATATGTCTGGAGTCCCCCTACAATACCTTCTAGTTCACTACGCAAGGCATCATTCTGTGCAACCTGGCCTGGAACATGGATTAATAAAAGTGAATTAAAGGTGAATTAAATGCTTCATTCTGATTGGCTGCCCTCAGTTTTACATCATAAAGATGTCTGGAGTCACCCTACAACATGCTCTAGTTCACTACGCAGCGCATCATTCTGTGCAACCTGGATTTATTGAAAAAGAATAAATGGTTAATTTATTTAAGCAACAGCAACAAGGTTTCCAGTTGTTATAAAAAGACACATATTCAACAATATTGCACCATTAAAAATTAAATTAAAAGTTTATCAATATCAAAATTGAGTTGCTTGTTATCAAAATAAATAGAATCAAAAACCATTAATTTCAGGCAATATAATTTCAAAAGATCAAAATTTAAGATCTCTTCACTGACTGTACAGTTTGCCTAAAAACAGAAACATCAATAGCAGTTAGTAGGTATTGCATCAATTTCTTGTGATACATCTCAAAGGTGGGATCAACTGCCTCAAAATGGATACTCAGATACCTAATTTTGTCCTGTTCCATAGAATTAGGCTCTTAAGTCGAAAAATTAATTCAATGTTCATTTCCAGAACAAGAAAATAAATCTTGTACCTATTCATTGTTTTTGACACACAATTTTTTTACACCGAAAGAAAGGATAAAATGTTCAATGTCAATGCCCTTTACAATCATACAACTATTGTTCTCCTCAATTTCTTCAAAATCAGAAAATTGTAATGACAATCTGTGACAATAATAATATTTCATGAAATGTGAATACAAATGGCAGTTAACAAACCAAAATTTGATATAAGAGAGCTCTCGCACAATGGTTTATATCTACATATATACCACCACATCTCATTTTAATTTGTCTAGTCTTGTTTAAAATGGGTCATATTTGTTGAACTTAAGGTATCTAGGCCAGCCTTAAAGGCACTCATTTCACTTAAGAATGCACCTTAATATCAATCTCATGAGGAAGAACCCGTTTTTTGGCAATCTCGAGGTTAGTCAATTTATCATGAAGTTATGTACATTAACTGTTGGGATATATAAGCCCAATGTTGTTGTTTATGTCTGTATTGGTTATGAAACACAAATGGAAACTTCCATCAATGTATAAATGACAAAATGGCCTTTAAAAAGAACTTAACAAGTAGGTATTGTTCAATAATACATGACACCATGATCACAAGATGTCTGAAGATCCTCATTGAAATAGATATGTAATCAGTGATAAAAAGGTTAAAAGGAATGTACTAAGCACAACAACATGTGAAGTGGTATTTGTAATACCTTGACAAGATTTAGAAATCTTTAGAGTCTTCAGTTAAAATCAACTCTTATCCTTTTATATCATGCCCCATTCTTAAGAGGAGTACAACCAAAAGAGTGTGACCATGTTTGTGGTAGTGTTAAACCAGCAACTTCTATTCCTAAGGTACATAGAAGAATTCAGAGAAAGTATGTTTATATGATACATGTACAACATGAAGGATGTATACCACATGTACCACAATATCATTGCTAATATGTCCTTCTCTTTATGCACACCCTTCACTTTGTACACTTTTCAAATAAAATTAATTTCTCTGAATTCTTCCATGTATTCTAAAAACTCAAGGGTACAGTATATTGATTATATTGATAATTTCTTTATCATCTGACAATGATTACGCTCAAACTGTTGAAAATATGGTCAGCTTTATGAAATATGATATTTTTTTTGACAAAGTGACAACACAGGGGAATAGTCATAACATGACCTTACCTTACCTTACCATGACAATCCAAGAAAGCACGAAATTTTGACCCCAGATCTTTCCCTTGGTAGTGACAAGTTACCAAGAGTAAACAATCACAAGCACATGGGCTTGATTTTAGACAAAAATCTCACTTTTGACTATCACATTACTGAACTTGTAGCAAGAATAGATAAACTCATTAATCCGTTAAAATTCTTCAGTAAGAAAATAAGTGGAAAACACCTTGAAACAATTTTTAAGTCTTTTATTTTGCCACTCTTTGATTATTGTGACATTCTTTACGAATGTGCATTTGACAAAACTCCAACTTTTAGATCGCCTTTACTATAAAGCTGCACTTATTTGTTCAGGTGCCATGCATGGAACATCAGCCACAAAAGTGTTGAATACTTTAAATTGGCCCACACTCTCAAATATACGTCAATATCATAGAGCTACCTTTATGTATAGAGCTCACAACAACTTGCTGCCTTCTTATGTCACTGAGATATTTGAACCACTAAAAAGAAATCAAACACATGAACTAAGACACCAACTTGACTATATTTTACCAGTTAGATCCAAATTTTATGAAAGATCTTGTATCTCAAAAATAATATCAGAATGGAATCTACTCTCATCTGATATAAAGAACTCATCTAGTTTAAGTCTAGTCCACCCGTGTAGCTCAGCGGTATCGCAGGTACCTCTTACGCAATAGGTCCCGGATTCGATCCCCAGTTCAGGCAAGACTTGTTTGCTTGTTTGCGTGAAGTACTTCAGGGTGTTTGACTGAGTGGTCCGCAACTCGTACAAAAGGCTGTGGTGTGTACTTGTATGTCTATGTATAAGTGCACATAAAAGAACATAGGGCTCCTTCAAGGAGGGGTTTCTGGGTCTATCTTCCAGGTTAATTACGTAAATTACGACCGTATATATACGGGATATACCCAAGAGGTATTGCTCACCTTCATTGGTGGTAAACAAAATACAATACAATTAGCATATTTAAATCAAGCCTTAAAAGAAATATTTTTAACAAAACTGTTATTAACTCATCAGAATTGTCCATCTCAAGAAACCAAGAAATTATATTTAACAGAGTACGATGTGATTTCATTTTCAGGGCTCACCTTTACTCGCATAACTTTACCAATGTAAATTCCCCCATCTGCTCATGTGGTATTAATAGTGATTTTTTTTTAACAACCAGCCATGTGATTTTTCGATGTAACTTGAGATTAACATTCTGGACTGAATTAGAAAACCAACTAAAACATATGAATATACAATACTCCCGTAAATATAAGACACAACGTGATAAACTTTCTCTGATCCTCAATGGTGATAAAACACTAAGTAGAGCTGAGAATCTGATTGTTTTAAAGTGCAGTGCCATTTTCTTCGAGCGATGTGTAAATGTCTGAAATTCTCCACAAAACAATTTTTATCTTATTGTATCTCATTTATTTTAATCAATAGTATTGATTGAATACATTGTATATTGTAATTGTAGAACGTGGCTAATAATGCTAAAAGCACAGCCACTTACACTGTATTTTTGTATTGTATTCTTTGTACAAATGAATAACTTAATAAAAAAAAACTTACCAAGCACCATTTCATGCACAATGGGCTTCCTTCTTAGATTTTTATCCACTGGGCTAAATTGCCACAAGAAAACATGCAGATTAGTAACCAAGATAATTACAGTCAGTTTGCAGTAATGTTTTGGTGCAAGCCCAAATCATAACTGTGTGAAAATATATGTTCAAAATCTGAACGGAGAACATCATACTGAATTTGAGGGCTGAATGTAGAACATCATTCTTCGAAACGAAAAACGGCAATATCTCAATAGATATGCATACTTTGAAGAGATCTCTAAGTAATAGCGGATTCTTGCTTGGCAGCCATTTTGAATTTTCTGGAGCAAGAATCAGAAAAACAATACCATAATTGTGATATATTCTTAAACTCCTACAATCTGAGTATAGTCATACTTTGAAGAAATCGGGAAATTATTGCGAAATCCCACACTAAGCAGCCATTTTGAATTTTACGAGGCCTGAATCAGAAAAACAATACAATATTTGCAATCTACTCTTAACCTTTCATTTGAGTATAATAAAGCTATACTTCAGAAAGATCTCAAAATTAAAACAAAAACTCCTATTTTCCCGACCCCCATACACAGCCCCTGGGGGTCTAGCTGAAAAACTCAGAATGTATGTGACAAAGATAGATGTTGTGAATATACTACCAAAATTTCAAACAACAATATTCAGTTCTTTGGTTTAAAATGAAAAACTTAAGATTTTCGCCGCAAAGTTCTTTTTGCATAAAACCATGCACTAATATACATCTTTCCACCAATTCTGAAGCAAAGTCATCTACTAGTATTCAAGTTATCTTCAGGATGGACAGACCAACGGACAGACAGATGGCTTCACTATATCCCTACCAAACTTCGTTCGTAGGGATTATTGAATACACTGAAAATAATACCACCAATATTCACCTAGAACACATCATACACTTTCAGTGCACCTAACAAAAGTAGTTCTGCCTGCATTTGGGTTAAAAATTGATTTTTAGACACTTCCAGTGAAATGAATGTACCACTGGTACATCTAAAATAGATATATTGACTTGGTACCAGTATTTGTCTTTTAATCCACATATGAATTTTGTTTTATTCTTAAATCAATCTTTAAAGGGATGCTACTATTAATTTGGATTGAAAGAATTTGGAGGTCAATATGATATACATTTGTGTACATGTTTCAAGACAACATCATATTACAATACATGCATTGTCCCAGTCCTTCGATCACAGGTGCATGGTACCGCTTTGTTATATGTGAATTTTTATCTCTATGTATTCATCAATAGACATGCTACTCAATTGTTATCAACTGTTTTTAAACAAATAGCAAAATTTATCTCATCTCAAGGACGATGTTAAATCTACTTATAGTTTTGTTTATCATGTGTTAAACAAATAAACATGTAACATCATATCTCTAGACACCTAAAACTCATGTACTATTGTTTTATTGTTTTTATCATGGTAAGTCAAAATGCATAAAAGTAATTACTAAGAAAGAAATGGCATTGAGATATTTCACAAAAAACATACAGGGTGACACTAATTCCAACCCATGCATACGCATGCCAATAACTTTAATCTAATTATGTACAAATTGTTCTTTTTGGACCATCTCATGTAATTAGGCCTTGGAAGTTTATAGTGCTCTAGTTTTTTTATTTGCTGGTCTAGAGGATTCGTGGTGCTAATTCTCTTCTATTTCAGAAGTGAAGTGTATTGTATGTTAGTATGAAAACTACTTGTTAACAGGACCTATAAATGCCAAGACAATGGATGGCTATCAACATTTAGGCATAAACCATAAAAATCTTGAAACAAACCCTAACTGAATGTTATCAAACCTTCCTGTGAATTAAAATGATAGCACGTCTTACGAGACCATCCTATGTAAAATAATTGACTGATGAAGCCACATGATCATGATTGTATATTTTCTATAATACCATGATCTGCAATATGATTGGCTCATATAAGTCACATGGGCATGTTTTGTGATTGTATTTAAGGCAGAAATGTAATCATATTCATTATTCCAAGGCTGTCGAATGATTAACTAAACCCCTAATAAATGTAATAAACCTCATAAAATTTATCTATACAATGTTACAGTTCTTCATAGTAAAGTTACTTCCTTCAAAAAATGAAAAACCTCAAAAGTAAAAACATGTGTTGAAGGAGATTTAGAAAGTGAAACTTTCTATCTAAGCTCCAGAAATACCATTCCAATCTTCTTATGAAATTCCCTGTGAATAGCAAACATCAGTATCTTTACCATGAAACTCATTGATTTATTTGTAAGGGTTAACATGAATGTAGAGAGTAACAGGACCACTTTTCTCATCGATAAATACATTTACAATGTAACTATTAGAAGTAGTACATTATACAATGTAAGAATCAAGGAAAACATAACATATGAAGTCAACATCTAAATGGTAACAAGAAGCAAAGGCAACAGAATTCAGTCGAAGAAGACATTATTTTTAATGATGAACTGCAGAACAGCTCTGGTTTTGTTTCTAGGAGCATTCGTTTTAGCCTGTATTATAGGTGAGTTTTGTTTCTAAAAACTGAAACACATATTTATCTTTTTTTTACATATAATCATCATTCTCATGACTTTCATTGGTTGTTCCAGGCTTCCATTTAATGCATCCATTGATTGGATTTTTAGATCACTTTTGAAAAATGGTACAAGAAAGTAAAAACAATCATATTATCTTTCACTGTTTTCAGTCACAAAGCTTGAATGCAGAAAGCCTATCATTCATTTTTTTTATTTGTTCCACACAGGAACTGCTCAGGCAGGTAAGAGGTCAGAAACCAAAGCACAAATTCCAACCAGGGAATCACCAGGAGAGCAAGGAGATACACCTAGGAGATCTAATGACAGACCAGAATGCCCCACAGTGTGTCCCATGATCTATAATCCTATATGTGCGTATGATGGGGAAAAATATGTGACATTTCCGAGTCAGTGTGATATGACAGTACATGCTTGCAAGTAAGTTGGATTAAAGAATATTTATCTTACAAAATTTATATATCTCATGAATCAATTCTTTTAATACTAATTTTAATGGTTCAAGTTTTATTCAAAATTTCAAATATAGCAATACCTGTCAAATCTGCCCAATTCTATTGGGATTGTCTAAAAGTGTTTGATTATGCAGGTTTCCACATATAAAGGTATTTCAAAGTGTTTACAATGAGAGTTTTTCAAATAAGAGAATTGATCAAATGCAATTGTTCTTATGAATTATCTCTGTTTTTCCAGAACTGGCAAACTGGTGACACCACAGTTTAGAGGACCTTGTGAAGAAAGAGAATTATAACACCACAGTTCAAGTTAGAAAGAACATTTTGAAATTATATGTAAAAAGCACTTAACTAGAAGAATAAATAAAAATTTATAAATATATAATCATTTTTTTAGATTAAAGCAAATAAACGAAAATATATACACAGAGGTGAACACCTGTGGTAAAACCAAAAACAGATTTTATGAGATCCTTTTTGAGGAGGAAGTTGTCATTAGTCAATTAGATTCAAGATCATATAACCATGTGATTTACATAACATAGACTAAGCTTTTGGAATTCAACACTGCACACTGTAAACCAATCAGGTTGTGAGTTTGTATCATGTGTTAAAGTTCATAGTTTTCAAACAATATTTCTAAAGCCTTACCATCACGTAACTGTTCTTCTATGGATTTCACATCATTTGTCTCTTGTGCTATATGATTCAACATATCTTTAAGTTGTGCATGGAGCTCTGTGTAGTCTTGAGTTCTGGTGTCTATTTTATGTTGTTTGTCTGACATTTCTTCTCTCATCACTCGCTAGAAAAATTCAATGAAACAACTTATCCCATGGAGATAATTATAGGATATCCTATGATTTTGAGGAATATCATTTTTATCTACGAGGTGATATTGATATCTGCACGAGAGAGCAAAGTGAATGAGTGCATATATCAATATCACCGAGTAGATTAAAATGCTATTCTGAAAGAAATCATAGGATGTTCCTATTATTCTACACTTAAAAAGGAGTGTACTAAATGTATGATATCATTGCAGAATGAATTTCATGCCAAATAGAGTCAATTTGGCGGGAAATCAACAAGCGGAGTATATCGTCACAATATCCTCCGCATATTGGGTTTTCCGGAGTATACATGTATTGTCACAATATCCTCCACCCGGAGTATATCATCACGATATCCTCCGGTTATTCATTTTGCCAATAAATATCAAATTTATTTTTTAATGTTATTATACATTTAGTACACTAAGTGTAGGATAATAATGTATCAAAGTGCATTGCAACATTTCTTTGCTTAATAAGTCAATATCATATTGTCCCATGATATAAAAAAACATTATTCCATAGTTAGCATGATATTCATAAGATAATATGTCAACATAAAAATGGTATTTTTGTAAAAAAGTGGTAAAATATGATATTTTTGACAAATTTTCACTTAACCATAGCATACAGTGTTTAAGCCATGACATACAGCGCAGTATGCTATGAATTATGGATTTTTGCTACTTCAGACTCAAGACGAGGTTAAGTGTCAACATCGCCGGATCGTTTAGAAAATTCGAATTGAATAACTTAATTTCCGACGATTCTGATGATGACTTTAACTATGGAATAAAAAGAACATCCTATGATTTACTCGTGATATGATTTTAATCCACTCATGGATATTGATATCTGCAATCTCCTACGCTCGCTCGTGCAGATATCACATCCATTCGTGGATAAAAATCATATCACTCATAAATCATAGGATATCCTCTTTATATTCTATGCTTCCCAGTATAAGCAATATAAATCTTCAAATTGAAGTGATCTAGAGTTTTTTGTGTCGGTTTGATGTTTTTACTAATGTTCTACTTTTTGGACCACTCTGTACATGATCATCACTACAAAAATAACTAGATTGGAGAAATTGAACAAGTTCAATTCAAGACTCCAGATTTAGATTGTTTATCTCAAAACCATTTTGAGATCTGATATTAATGAAAGGGTTGAGTTTGTTACAATTTGGTGGCAGCGGTGGGATTTTTTTGAGATTTCAAAAGCCCATTTCTTCTAAACCGGAAGTCGGATCTCAATTTTGTTTTCAGATTCGGAATCCTGAGAAAATTTTGTATTAAATCCTTAATTTGAACTTTGATATTAATGAGAAATAAAAACATATCGACCCGATTGACATGACATGTGGATATCATCAAATCTTTTTTTCAAAATTTCAAAAGGTCAGAACTCCTCAACCTGAAGTCAGATCACAATTTCGTTTTCAGATTCGAAATCTTGAGGAAATTTCCTATTTAATTAATACCAATTCTGATAGATTTGGAACATTTTAAAATTCAACATTTTTTTAAAGTCAAATTTCTCAAAATTGATAATTTTTTTATCAAGACATATATTTAGCAAAATGTTTGAAACACTTAGAGAAACCTAGAAAAATATTTATAGCAAGAAATATTGAAAGATAAAAAAGAAAATTGAAAATTTGTGAAATTAAAAAAATTGACCTAGAATTTGAACTTTGACCTAGATAAAAATTTGACCTAATTTCCCAGAAACTAGGTCACATACCCTAACTGACCATGTAAACAGATTTACCCTAAGTCTTCTAGTTATTGAGATATCTTGCTAAGAAAAATAATAATAATAATAATAAGAATACAGGCAAAAACAATAGACTCCAGATTTTCAATCTGGAGTCTAATAATTAAGACAATGACACACCTCTAGATCAGTTTTAACTGATGAATTTATAATTTAACAAATATACATGTTTTATTTAGATTCACTTACATAAAGGGACCCCTGACTGTCAGTTCTCTGCATGTGACATCTCAATTCAGCCACATCAGCTTTGTTCTGTTGAATGTCCCCCTGGGCTGTCAGCATTCCCTCTTCTCACTGGGCAGAGTTATCTCGTAGTGCACTGATCTAATAATAGTAGAAATAATGCAAAACCCTATGAATTTGAGTAAGTTCATTGTAAACCCATGAATCAAAGGATTTCGCTTTGATGTGATGACTCTTTGAAAGTACTGTGTCATGTTATATAAAATCAACAGTTTTTCTGGATGTGAAATTTTAGCCGCTGTGTTATATTAATGGCAAGAAGGCATGATTAAGAAATATTGTTTTAAGTATGGTATTTTACCATTTGCATTTTCGATGCTAGTGTGTTTCTAAGCTCTCCTTTATCAGTTTCTGCTAGAGGAGCTCTCCTTGGAGAGAGGCTGGAAAGTTTATGGAGCTCTTCAGTAGCTTGAATTATTTGTGCCTTGGTACCTTATAGCTCACTCTGTAGTTTGAGTAACTTCTCCTGGGCTACAATACAATAGGGACGGGAAACTGATATAACTAGTACCTTTAGCATATCACAAAGCCATCATCAATATAAAAAAATCAGCTTGGGGACAGTTTAGAGATTCAAGGCAGAACATTCACAAGGGATTAAACTATGGAATATTTTTGCTTTGCTCATTAATAATGGAGATTTTTCCTTACCTCTCTCAATGCTCCTGTATTTATCAGCCAACTCTGCATCCATTGTTTGTTTCAATGTCTCACGTACATCAGGGTGGATGGGAGAAGCCTAAAAAAAGAAATAGCGTAATATTACAGACATAAACACTTGTGTTGTTGCGATTAATAGATACACCATGATATATATGGCCAAAAGTTATTCTGGCCATGCATCGATGTCAAAATATAACATCAATGTTTTAAAACATTAAATTTATGGCTCTTACTCCCATAAAGCTAGTTAATTATGTTCTTTCCCTCCAATCAAATTACTCTATTTTTTAGTTCATTTTCCAATGTTCTCTGATATTCTTTCGCTTTAAGACTGTTTAAGCTAATCGAAATGAACCATTAATCTGAAAATTTACTTTACTTTTACTTATTTACTGAACACCCTGTAATACTGTTTGGTCTTCTCCCTTTTGTATATTAAAATCATCATTGGATATTGATTATTTTGTGTATTTGTACTTTTAAAACAGAACATATGAATATTTTGCATTATTTTCGTGTGTTATATTATTGAAAACAAGTATATCTATCGACTTATCAATGTTGGGGCTTCAGACAATTCGTTATCGGTATCAATTTAATGATTGTTCTCAGCCATAATTTCCACTCTACATCAGTGGTAATTCGACAAATTGTCGAAATAAATTGAAATAGCCCGCTTCAATGTGCTCCAATCTGTGATTGGCTGCCTGGGCTTAATATCCCGGCAACGGCTTGTATTTGACAAGACTGACGACGGGAAGTTCGATGCTCAATAAAACATCGTTATTTCTTAAATCAGATGAAAAAACTTCAAAAAACATACATTTCAACAATATCAGTCATATATATTGATCATTTTGAAATAAAAGAAGCACACTTATATTACTTTTTTTCATTTATTTATATTGTTAAAAAATTTGACTAGCTTTACTTGCAGGCATAGTGTGGCGCAGTAGGTAGCTCGCAGACTCCTTATTCCACGTTTTGTCCAAAAGGTTGGGGTTTGATTTATGCTTTATTTCAAATGTGGATCGCCATGTAGACATTTATCATTCTGGAATATTTCAATCTTAAAAGATTCATATTTCATGAGATATTAAGATATTTGAGAGATATGATAAGGAATATAATGGTAGGTCAACTGTTCAGGTTTCTTGCAATTTTGACACTGCTCTTTATAAACAGAGCTGAACCTGTGGATACAGGATTGTCTGCCTTGTACTACTCTCTTTGAAACTTATTTACAGTATCAAAAATTATTAAGTATGCAGAGTATGTTTTAAGCCTTGGGTTTAAGTCAGAGTTTCTCAAATGATTATTTTCAAATAAACACTAGACAAACAAATATAGTTGCTTTAAACAAAGTAAAATATGAATGTGTTTTTATTACATGAAAATATAATGTAATCACACAGTATGTAAATTATTGGTAGACAAATAAAAAAACATCTGAAGTGTATCTAAGGAAAAGAAAATACAATATTTCAAAACATAACAGTCTTATCTACACAAGCTGGACCATACACCTGAATAGAACCTAATTATTTGATCAAGTGCATTACCAATATAACTTTGTTCAACACTGAACTTTGTATTATGACATATAAAACACATAATCAAAAGCTAAACACATTGTCAAGTGTCATGTCTATCTGATAAGATTATTGAGCACCTTGACTGTAGTGAGGTTATTTACATACAACATTAAATTACAACTTATCACAGTATGCTACAAAGGATGTTAAGGATGGCACCATTTCCAAAATAGAGATATCAAAATGGCTGATTATACAGGTGAGGTAGAGAGGGACATTAAAGATGCAATTGATAGGGAAGACGAACCTCAGCTGAGGTTGATTCTCCAGAGAACTTCCAAGTGTCATAAAAACACACTTGTCTGGGCATTAAAGAAAAATATGAATCTTAGTAAAGAGACATTAGACTTATTGTTAGAAAAGGGAGCAGATATTAATGCTTTTGACAAAGACTGGACTGCATTGATGTTTGCTTGTCAGCTTGGCTCTCTGGAATGTACAAAGTGGTTAATAGAGCATGGTGCGGATATAAATGCTAAGAAAATTAATGGACTGACTTCATTGATGCTTGCTTGTTGGTCTGGCTCCCTGGAATGTACAAAGTGGTTAATAGAGCATGGTGCAGATATGAATGCAAAGAACAATAAGGATATGACTTCATTGATGTTTGCTTGTTGGTCTGGCTCTCTGGAATGTATACAGTGGTTAACAGACCATGGTGCAGATGTCAATCTCAAGGACAATGATGGTTGGACTGCATTGAAGCATAGTTGTAATTTTGGCTCTTTGGAATGTACACAGTGGTTAATAGAGCATGGTGCAGATGTCATTGTCAAACACAAAGAGGGCAAAACTGAACTGATGATTGCTATTGGGAAGAGGTCTCTGGAATGGATAAAGATGTTCACAGACCATGGTGCAGATGTCAATACCATAAGCACTGATGGTAAAACTGCATTGATGCGTGCTTGTGAGTCTGGCTCTCTTGAATATACACAGTGGTTAACAGAGCATGGTGCAGATGTCAATGCTAAGGACAATAATGGTTGGACTGCATTGATGTATGCTTGTAAGTGTGACTCTCTGGAATGTACAAAGTGGTTAACAGAGCATGGTGCAGATGTCAATGTCAAACACAATGATGGCAGAACTGAACTGATGATTGCTATTGAGAAGAAGAGGTCTCTGGAATGGATAAAGATGTTCACAGACCATGGTGCAGATGTCAATACCATAAGCACTGCTGGTAAAACTGCATTGATGCGTGCTTGTGAGTCTGGCTCTCTTGAATATACACAGTGGTTAACAGAGCATGGTGCAGATGTCAATGTTAAGGACAATAATGGTTGGACTGCATTGATGTATGCTTGCAAGACTTGTAAGTCTGGCTCTCTAGAATGTACAAAGTGGTTAACAGAGCATGGTGCAGATGTCAATGTCAAACACAATGATGGCAGAACTGAACTGATAGTTGCTATTGAGAAGAAGAGGTCTCTGGAATGGATAAAGATGTTCACAGACCATGGTGCAGATGTCAATACCATAAGCACTGATGGTAAAACTGCATTGATGCGTGCTTGTGAGTCTGGCTCTCTTGAATATACAAAATGGTTAACAGAGCATGGTGCAGATGTCAATGCTAAGGACACTGATGGTTGGACTGCATTGATGTATGCTTGTAATTCTGGATCTCTGGAATGTACACAGTGGTTAACAGAGCATGGTGCAGATGTCAATGTGAAACACAATGATGGCAGAACTGAACTGATGATTGCTATTGAAAAGAAGAGGTCTCTGGAATGGATAAAGATGTTCACAGAACATGGTGCAGATGTCAATACCAAAAGCACAGATGGCCAGACTGCGTTGATGCGTGCTTGTGAGTCTGGCTCTCTTAAATATACACAGTGGTTAACAGAGTATGGAGCAGATGTCAATGCTATGAACAATGATAGTTGGACTGCATTGATGTATGCTTGTAAGTCTGGCTCTCTGGAATGTACAAAGATGTTAACAGAGCATGGTGCAGATGTCAATGCTAAGGACAATAATGGTTGGACTGCATTGATGTATGCTTGCAAGACTTGTAAGTCTGGCTCTCTAGAATGTACAAAGTGGTTAACAGAGCATGGTGCAGATGTCAATGTCAAACACAATGATGGCAGAACTGAATTGATGATTGCTATTGAGAAGAAGAGGTCTCTGGAATGGATAAAGATGTTCACAGAACATGATGCACATGTCAATACCAAAAGCACAGATGGCCAGACTGTGTTGATGCATGCTTGTAAGTCTGGCTCTCTTGAATATACAAAATGGTTAACAGAGTATGGAGCAGATGTCAATGCTATGAACAATGATAGTTGGACTGCATTGATGTATGCTTGTAAGTCTGGCTCTCTGGAATGTACAAAGATGTTAACAGAGCATGGTGCAGATGTCAATGCTGCTAGTAAATCAGGCCACACAGCACTCTCATACATTGATAGATTCACCCCTGAACATAGAAAACAATATAGCCTTCTGACCAGACTAGGTGCTAAAGATGATGACTACAAACATCTCATGTCACTTAACAGCAATGCAACTGATGATAAGCAACACACAGCTAAAACAAAGCTAGATGCAATAAAAGCTAAATGGAATCTGAGTTTAAAGTGTCAGGCAAGGTGGTGTCTTTATCAAATGAGTGTATCAAATGGTTTTTCATACAGAAATTCAATTGATAGGTTGATTCATGACAGGCATAAACTCCCAGAATTAGAGACATTCCTGTTGTTTGAAAACACTGATGACATTTGTGAGATGACAGCTATACTACGAGAACTGCATGCCAGCCATGAGGTTGAGAGAGCACTAATCAAATACAGAACAGAACAAATGAGCTCAGAAAATATAGCACTGAGGAAACCATTTGAGAAACTAGAACCACATCAACGGAAACTGCTAAAATGGTAAATATAATACGCATGGCAATTGTCAATAAGGCTGCTTACCCCCCCCCCCCTCCCCAAGATGGCACATATTTTGTACATCAGTTTAAAGCTATTTGCATGAAATTGAATGAACTTGTTGGACTCATAGTTTCTCACATTAATCAATCAAACAATAACCCAGTATCATATAATGACCTAACATTATCTTAATATTACTCTAATATCAGTCCTGATATCTACCTAATATCACCCAAGTATTCTGAATGCAATATCAATCAAATATCACCCCATATCAACCAAATAATATTAGTTGATTATTTTTGCAATAATCACCCAATGTTGGCCATATCACGCCTAACCATCGCATAAGCAGATGTCACCATACAGCGTCAAAAAATACAGTTATAAGTTTTTTTGTTTTGATTTTATTTATTTAAATCTTTTATTTCTATTTCAATTGAGACAATTCTTACTTCATAGTGCTTGTTATCAACAACATAGAGTATCATGATGACACATTTCTTGTAAAGAAACAAAGTGACAGACTATAATAATGCCTATTATAGACTTTGTAAATCTTCAGGGTTCAATTATGTATAAGATAACTGTTACATTTACATTATATTATATTAATACTTTATCAAGCATAACTGTTTCTCTATCATGAGCTAAATATATACCAGTATAACACAGAATAAACAAATAAAACAAATAACATATTTTCAATATCAGCTAAATATACATATAAGTGAATAATAAATCATATCATCTAATATAAAAAAAATATGGAAGTGTTTCATCACTGGACGGAATCTAGTAAAGTAATCTAATACTATATCTAGAATAAGACCACAATGTATACAGACTCGTATCAAGTTTCTGGAACCTCACCCATCTGCTATGTAAAGAGAGACTATATGATATCACTATTAGTCAATTTCAATGCTACAATGTTGGGGAGGTGATTTTTAACAAAAATCAAAGTTTTCCCAATCCAAAGTATTAAAAATATATAGTATAGTTCAATGAATATGGTATGTAATTGGCATGGAGTAAATGGGTGATTTATAATTACATCAGCCAAAAATAATAAATAAGTAAAAAATATTCTGTTTTTCGGTTTTTACAAACAATCCCATGTTTTTTTGTTTTTTTTAATTTTATACTAAAATGCAGTTTGCATATCCTTAATATCTATCATGTTAAGACCACCATTCTGATGATTCTGCACAATAACATTTCTTTTAATCTTCTCTGGCACTTTTCCAATGTCATTTTCTTTAAATCGGCCTTTAGCCCACAAATACTTAAACATTATTTTGATGATTCTATTTAACAGTATGTCAGGCAAAATGAAAGCTTGCATTAAATAGGAAAATTGTGCTAAAATTAATGACTTAACAATTATAACTTTACCAAATAATGTTAAAATTCTCATATTCCATGTTTTAATTACATTTTCACACTTTATAAACTTACTTTCAATATTAACATTATTGTTTATCACATCTGTACTAGGTGAAAAGGTGATGCCTAGAATTGTTACACAGTTATCTGGGATTATTTTCCAATTTATATCACCTAATTTATTTGTTCTTGTTTTCCAGCTACCTAACCATAATGCTTCAGTTTTTGATTTATTTAATTGTAAGTTTGAAATTGTGGCAAATTGTTCAAATATATTCATTACTTTTTCCATAGAGGCTTCGTCTTTTAAAAACACAGTCGTGTCATCGGCAAACTGCACGATTTTTACATCTTCATCAAATGTTGGGATATGTATTCCTTTTACATCTTTTGTTTGCCTAATTTTACATGATAATAGTTCACACGCATTGATGAACAACAATGGAGATACACAGCAACCTTGCCGTTTTCCTCTCTCTAGCATGACTTCACCAAAAATCCAACCATTATTAGAAATACGAGTTTTTTACATACAATAAACACCCATTTAATAAGAGACTCACCAAAACCAAACATTTTCAAGGCTTCTAACATAAATGGCTTAGAAATTGTATCATATGCTTTCATAAAATCTATTGCTAAAAGTATTTATCCTATAAGATTAGTATTAGTGAAATTAATAATATCATCTATTGCTCTGAGTACCAGTGCGGCACTTCTTCCTTTTATATACCCGCATTGATCTTCATGAATCCATACTTTAATTACCTTTTTAATTCTCAGAGCTAAAATTTTTGCAATAATCTTGTAGTCAACATTTGTTAACGTCAATGGTCTCCAAATTCTTAAAACATTTCGTTCTTGTTTTTTTCGGAATTAGAACTATTAAACCAGTTTTCTGACTTACTGATAATTCACCTTTTACATATGCAGCATTTGTACAGCTAACTAATAACTCACCTAATCAATTAAAAAATACTTTATAAAAGGCAGCTGTTAAGCCATCCAGACCCGGACTTGCATCATTTTTCATATCTTATATCGCAAATATACATTCATCTCTACTTACAAGTCCTTCACATGAATTCCCTTCATTTTCATTTAATTTTGGTACCTGTTCATCCTTTAAAAATAGGGCAACATAGTGAAATATTGGACAAAGACGAAGGTCCAATATTTCACTGCATTGCCCGCAAAAATGATGTTATTAGTATTATTACCACCGTTAACGACCAGGACTGAAACAGCAAGAAAATCTTAAGCACTGAACGATATCTAATTTCCCCGGGAAAATTGCCGGTCGTTAAATGCATTCTCGACCAGTCGTTAAATGCATTCTTGACCACCACTATGACGTCACATATTGCTCAGGTCGATATAGTAAAATGAATGCCTTCTAAACTAGCACTAAATCCCCTAGAACTGGCCCGGCAAGGTGGTAATAATGCAATATCACTCCAAGTTCAATGTCCATATCAACCCAATATAACTCAAATGTATTCTGAATGTAAAGTTACCAATCAATCATCCAGCTCACTTGTATATCATATGTCATTTGAAGAATGTAATCCTATTTTCTTTACTGTTAAAGAAAATTGTATGTTGGATGTATGTTTGTCCCTAAAAGGGCATCAGTACAAATAATTCCTATATCAGCCCAATGTGACCTAAATACTGGCCTAACATTATCAAATATTATTCTTCACGCTAAATATTGTATATATTTTTTCAAATATGGATAAAAATATCACAAGGGGATTTTATTGTTTATTTGATGTTTACTTTTTGTTTCACTTTTGCTAAAATAACGTCAATTAAGTTTTGTAACTAGAGATGTACTCATTAACTCAGCAATTAGATTTGGCTCATTAAAATATTCTCAGACTTCTTCCTAAATATCTGTTGAAATTCAAGTGGTCATTTGTATTGTTGTATGTTTTATGTAACCAGAAATATGAATTTATAATTTGTCACATGGTGTCTGGGAAACCAGCTGACTTGTATTGTTGGGCAGTTTCGGCCTAACCTTCAAAATTATAACATGGAAAATAAAGACCTCTCACCAAATTCTAAATTAAGAGTTAGTAATTAATTAACAAGAGAGAACAATGAACAAAATATATACACAGAAATCATATATAAAAACGCCCCGTCGTATTTGGTGGAGCTGCGGTTTGGATCCTTGGAACTTTTAGGAAATTAAATAGGATTCTAAAGACTTGAAATCTAAGAAGGATGAAGACGAAGGATTTCTGGAATTTTTGGACACTGTTTAGCCCTGGAATGAAGTCAATATTTGGAAGAAGAACAAAATTCAAAAAGAATCATTTAACATTATATTCAGACTGGTATTTTGAACCTATCGTCAGTTATGTTTGCCTGATGTTTGGAATTAAGGCAGAACATATGAGAGCTACAAGAAGAGACAATAGATTGTTTCAATCTTTCGGATTTAAAGATACAATCAACACAGATTCAATATTTGGACATATCTAAGAAGAATAAAATCATCAATGATGAGCTTGATCGAAAAGTTAAAAAAAATGGAGATATCTTTTAAAATCTAAGAACTTTATCAGATGCTGATGTAAAGAACTCTTATGCATGCAGTTTAAATTCGAAATTAATTAAACAAGAAAAGCAGAGATGGGAGCCCAGAAGAGCATGAAGATGATGAACTGATGTTACTTCAATTATTTACAAGCAGATTGGAACTTTTATCTTGCTTTTGTGTGTTTCGGCTATTTCTACAATGCTGCTGATGTAATTTTGATAAAGAATATTCTACAATGATGCGATGTTTGAACTGGTGAGCGCTACCCTTGTATATCGATAAAGTGTTTACTGCTGTTGTGTCGGTCCTGTGTTCCAATCTTCGTAATGATGTATCCACGCTATGGGACAGGGAGAATCGAGCCTTGAAAGTTGCCATGCAGATATCGTGATTTACAGAAATGTGGGAAGTGATGATATCATTTGGTGGGAGAGTAAAGGCAAACTTTTTATTTCTGAGGTGCAAGTTAAGACAGAGTATCATTGTGGCTTAAAATTATTCATAGAAAATTGTTTCAGGTTGTAAATATCTTAAGTAACATGAGTATAAAACAAAGAAAATCACAAAAATAGCAAAATGCATATCAAATAAAAAAAAAATATGGAGCAAGTTGGTCAAGTAGAATAAGAGAACGTTTGAAAATTTAAAGTTTATATAATTATAAAGGTTGAGTCTTTGTGAAGCATATCAGTTAAAGTGTAGGTGAAAATGAATTAATTTTGTAAAAGGAAAATAGCATGTCATTTGATAATATATGTACAAAAGTATGATACAGATGAAGTAAGTGAATTAGGTAAAGGATATCTAAAAAGAGAAAATATAAGTAGGTTAAGGATATCAAGTGAGAATATAAGTATTGTAAAGGGAAAATATAAGTAAGTAAAGGATATTAATAAAGATACTAAAGGTATTTAAAGTAATTAAGTGTATCAAGGACAATCAATTACAAAGTAAAGTATTCCGATCCCATTCAAGAGGAATAGAAATACAGGTCTACTTAGTGTACAGGTAGATCTGCTGATCTCAGGAAGGTTAAACCTTTATGAAAAGGTTAATCTAGG